CAATTCTGAGCGCAAATCCAGTTACCAAATTGTCTAATGTTTGAGTCACGAAGTGGTCTGACCGTTCGGACTTGTTGTCCCACTCAGCTGACTTTAACTGGCTGCAGCTGCTCCCACCAACCATAGTCCATTACCCGTCAGGTGTCTCAAATGTCGAGCGCCGGAGAGTCTCCAACCCGGGCTAAGGTCTACCAACTGAGCTACGGGACAGGATGTTATGAACCATAATTTAACCCTCGCCAGCACAGGCCATTTTGCGTCCTTCGACGGCACAAGGGGGGCGAGGGTACGACCCCCCTCGCGTATTTTCCGCGATGCGCCGTAGCTCAACCAGGGGCGAAACGGCGTGGGGGTCGTACCCGCCCCCCCCCCCCCTCGGCGGCGCGGCCGGCGAGGGTAAAAGAGCTATGAAAATGCGCTTTTCAGCGACGATGTAGCTCTATTGTTCCCCGAGGTAAGGGCCGGTGTTTCGAGAAATGTTGACATATTTAACATTTTACCTTTGACGACCTCTGGTGACCTGACTTTTGACCTGACCTAAAAATGACCAATTACTTAATCCGGAGCTTTGGACGCTCTTTCGAACGCCACTTACCACAAGTGGCTATTTGGCCTAAGGGCCGAGTTAAAAGGGTTAAAAAAGTTCAAACACCTCCCAGCCCGGCGCGTTTGGCGCCGAGCACCGGTCCGGCGCCGATTAATTTTTGGCTGCTTCACCCAAGGTCGCAAAGAGTCGCAAGAAATGACTGTTAGATCTTGTAGTGCAATTTCTCCCTTGACAGGTAGCGAGGTTTTCGAGCGGTACTTTGTAGTACTTTTTTAAAAAGTCTATTTGTGTATGACATCAATAATGTGAAATTATATTTTCGTCTTTAAATCTTTGCGGTGCAAATACATTATAAACAAGTGAGAGTTCGTCATTTTTATGTTTTTAGATGTGTTCTTCAGGCCTGGAGCTATCATTTGGTATATAGAAATGTGGAATTCCTCCTCAAATTGTGATTGTTTTCGTGGATCAAGGATGCGCTGTCGAAGAGTGTGGGAGATGGGTCCGGTCGAAACGATTCCGAAGTTCGTGTTTAAGCTGAGTTTTCGCCATGAAATAGCAATTGTGTTGGAAAACAAAGACCACAACAATGCAGTATGATAATTTCTGAACAAAAATGGTAAAGGTTCATTGCACTTCCAGAGAGTCCGTTTTTTTACACATGTCGTGCTAGACCTGGCGATCGGCCCAGTGTGCGCCGGCTGACAAGTCCGATCAGAGGCCAGTTTCACCAATAAAAAACAGACGGCTGCGATTATTTTTTGACAAAACGATAGTCTCAAAATGTCATTTACCGCTGAAAATACTAATCGCTGACTTGAAAAATGTAATAACTTAGCTTTCAAGTGCTATATTATTTGGTCAGTAATTACTTTCCCACCGGTAAATAGGATTTATAGACTATCGTTTTGTCAAAAAATAATCGCAGCCGTCTGTTTTTTATTGGTGAAACTGGCCTCAGGCTCATTTTTGACTTACGCACTCCTTGATATATGCCTTAGATACCCTGAGGGTACCAAACTTTTAAATCGTTTTTTTTTTTTTCAGGTCAAGGCCAGGTCATCCTAGGTCACGAAAATTGTATATCATGTATCGGTCACGTGACGCATGAATTATGATCCATTTTACTCGTAGATTTCGAAAATAATGTCGTCTGTGTAATTTGACGTCATTTTCAGCTGAATTTACCGGAGGTCAGGTCACTTTCAGGTCGGAAAAGATCTAATTTTGAAAATGAAATTAAGCCACCAAAAGTTGCCTATCAGATGCAGTTTAAACTCAGGAACACGATAGTGCCATTTATATTGTTGTGCGATGTCAAAAACGTACTGAAAAACCGTTTTTAACCCGCGCACCGACGGGGGTCTGCGCCAACTTAGTACCGACGGGGGGGGGGGGCGGATGACCGCCCCCCCCTGAGATCTCGAGAACGAAGCAAGATAGCGACAAGCGGTAAACGGCATCGGATACGCACGGACAAGGTCTACAATTTTTACTAAGGTCATTTTCAGGTCAGGTCAAAGATGACGTCACAGGGGTCGAAAAAGTCAAAATGGCGGCGCTAGATATGGAGAGGGTTTTTCTCGAATAACTTTCGAAGTAGTCAAGATAGGAACAAACTAAGGGCATCATCGTGATCCTCTCGTCAATCCGCATCGAATGATATATATGTTGACCTCGAAAGGTCAAGGTCAAAGGTTGACCTCAGGTCACGTGACCTCGAGGTCATCATGTATATCATTCGATGCGTCTTGACGAGCTGAACACAATGAGACCATCCGCGCGGCTGTATCTTGTTCCTGTAAGGAGTTATTGGCAAAAAACCTTTGGTGACCTTTGATGACGTCACATGACCTTACAGCTGCCCAACAGCAAAACAGACCTCAAGGTAGTGAAGGTTGATCGTATGTGAAGTCATGTATGGTATATGGGGCCATTCCGACCCGTTTTAGTGGTAAAAACAGGGAGTTGATTTTTCCCCCATTGACTTATAATGGGGAGGTCGCGAAATTGACCTGACCTTAGGTCACCGACATCAAAATTCCGAGATATACAAATTGTAGCTACTAATGACCTAATAACATCCTGCGACTTTCAAAGGCCTCCGACATCTACTGTAGCTCTGGCACGGTGACAAAGTTGCAAAAAAGTGACTTGAGGTTGGGTCATTCAAAGTGACCTGGTGACCTGACCTTAAAAGTTAGGAGGTTCAAACTTGCACACCATGTGTAAAATTGATGAGAGAATAGTCATACCAAATTTCGCGGCGCTACGCGCCGCGGTTTTCCCGCTATCCGCGAAAAACCTCAGGGGGGGGCGGATATCCGCCCCCCCCCCCCGTCGGTGCGCGGGTTAAGATCTGGAGCTAAAACTTGCAAGAAAGTTCAAAAACTATTTGAAAAAAATCAAAAATATATTTTTTGTAATTGTAAATACATATTTTTTTCAAAAGTTTCAGAATTTCGAAAATTCGAGATCAAAGTTTGAAGGCTACGTGTATTTGCAGTCCACTCATGCAAAGAAATTGGATCTAGCTTTAAAACTGAGCTCTTGAAAGCGTTTGCCGTAATTCAATGTTTTGCATCAAAATCGGCCGAGATGACGTCGCTCTGACATCATTTTCGGCCCAACTATGGTAGGTAGAAAGTTGACCTTTTAACACATGGTGTCAAATTGATGCCGCTGAAGGTACGGCAAGTTTTGTATTGATCCATCAAACGGCTTAGAAGATATTGCTGAAAATGGGAGGGGGGCTCTGTAGAGCCACGGGGGCTCTGTAGAGCCCCCCGAGTCATGCACGGGTTAACCCGCGCCCCGTTGGGCTCTGCCGAGCAACCTGCCCGGTTGGGGGGGGGGGCATTTTGGCCCCCCCCCCTAAGATCTCGAGAACCACGCAACATAGCGACAAGCGGTAAACGGCGTTGGATAGCCCCAACGGGGAACTACCTTGTGACCCAATTTTATTGACCTAGGTCAAACCAATGACGTCACAGGTCAGGTCAAAGGTCCAATTTTCACCGTTTACAGGCACTTCAAGAAATGCGTTGTAAAATCGAGTAAAATGCATTTCATTGAAAATCATCGATGGGGAAATGTTCTTCAAACACATATTTTGCTCTTTGAGGTCACTGATACCAGGTCAGGTCACAGAGGTCAGGTCACGGGGGGGTCACAATATGAAAGTGTCGTGTGATACATGTTTTATTATCCATTTTACATGACAAATGCGATTATATGGGTCAGGCAGCCTTTGGGGCCAGCTTAGATCACGTTTTGGTCAAGGTTAGGTCAAGGTCAGGTCAAGGTCAGGTCAAATTAGGTCAAATTTCAAAGTTAATATTTTTGCATAAAATGGGTATCGAATCGATGCAGCTTGTCACGGGGAGTTCAATGGTGGTCTTTGTTTTGCCGTACGTGGTCTAGAATTGCTAAAAATTGAGTTCAAAAATTTGACGTCATCATTTTTGAAGTTTTTTTTGCTATAACTTGGCCAAAAAACGAGATATCGATCTGAAATTGGGTATGTATATAGAAGAGCGCTGGGACTATTACATATATTCCGTTTTTTTCGAAATTCGGAAAATTTTTGGATTTTTTCAAAGTTTTTCTAAAAAAATCATTTTTTTTGATTTTTTTTGGTCAAAAACCAAAAATTTTGAAAATCCGAGATAGCAGTTTTGTAGCGCCACTTTTTGTCTACTAGACCATATAAAGAACTTTGAAATTGCTTGATAACTGTAGATTTGGTGAGCGTTTCAAGATTGCATGTTTTTTGCTCATTTTTGCTCGAACATGACCTCAGTTTGACCTCAATAACTCCTAACCTAAGGTGACCTAAGACTTGAAACTTGGTGTGAAGGTGTCAAATTGATGCCCGGGAAGGTACTGAAAATTTGGCGGCGCTGCGCGCCGCCGTTTTCTTGTTATTCAGGAAAAACCACAGGGAGGGGGGCCAAAATGCCCCCCCCCAACGGGGCGAGGGTTAAGCAAGGATACAGCTAGAAACTAGCCTGGCACCAAAACATAAACCTAATCACATCATACCTATGTGCAGGGTGGAGCCCAAAGAGCAAAGAGTTCCTTGCAGTCATCAAATGCAAGTGGTCTTGCCGAAAGAAGCCTTGTTGGAATTTGAGGACATTCACCATAGCAGTCCTCCGAATTTGTTTCTTTTGTTTTGCAGGGTTGGGTCTTTTCGGTCTGACAAAACGTTTTCAGAGCCGGAAGGATGATACGAATAAGGGGGAGACGTTGGTCTGGGCGACCACCCTGGTGAGCCGCCGAGACTGAGCCCGTCACAGTGGACAGGCCAGCCACCCCCGAAAACGGTCATCCCACCGCAGGATGGGCCTGCTGCTGGGCTGGAGTTGTCTACGTCGGATTGATTGTCCTCTTAAATCACTTAGGCACTCTGTGCAGTGTTGTACTGGAACTGATCGGCTAGAACTCTCAGGTAGGGACGACGATACCATGCCCCAGTTTCGCTGCCGATGTTCGCTCGAGGGCCGGTGGGCGTCTTCTCCGGGGCGCTCAGGTGTCCTGAAGGGCAGGCGCTGCCCACACGTCCGAGCGCTCGTCCGGCGCGCGGCCAGCCGGTCCGGCGCTTCCCTGGTTCCTGCAGGAGGCGGCCCGCCAGACGGCAGCACCGCCCGCCCGTCTGCCGGCGCATCAGCGCGCTCCTCTCGGCGCCAGAGGCTGCAGCTGGAATCCCGACACTTTCTCCCGGCGGTGGCAAGGTCGGCGGCTCATCTTCTGCAGCCGGGGGTGCGGGGTACGCCCCCGTTGCCCGTCCCCCGGCGGCGCCCCTCGGCACACCGCCGGCGGCCGGCTATAAAGGAGCGGGCCGGCCGTCCGAGAGACACACTGGAGTGGCGGCAGTCTACTCAGGTCATCCACCGAGCACTCCCTGAGGTGAGTGGCGGGACGGAGCCACACTCTGCCGTCCAGCCGCGGCAGCAGCACGAGCCGACCGCAGGCCAGACACCAGTGCCAATACACAATAGGAGGAACAAACCCGATCGGCAACGGGACGAAAACCAACATTCTTTATTATTCATAGAATCAATACTCGCATGTTGCCATCTTCATAATCACATCTTAATCATAATCACTCTTAGAAGCGTAAGCATGAAGAAATGAGTTGCTTGGCTATATCGGCTAATAATATTTACGATCTTCTAGACCAAATTACAATTATTCGCTCAGCCGTCAAACTATTTTCCTAGTGGAAGTGACTTTGCAATCAATCAGCGAAATAGAAGCTGATCGGGAACCTTTACCAGTAAACAAATAAATAGACCTCGGCGTAAACAGCCCATTTCCCGATCGCCCGCGCAGAGGTGGATTTCTCAATGCGATGAGAAGAAGCCCGACTGATAATTTCCTTCACATTGTCGTGAGCGGTGAAAAAATGTATATAATGCAATGTAAGCCTCGAAGACCTGGGTTTGATCCTTGGATACATATATTAAGGATTAGTTAAGTGAGCTTATTGCGCGACACACGACCGGAAAAAGACGACTACCAATTACTGGCTGGGTGTCAGGCGCAGCGCTGAAGACGCGAAGGCCTCTGAGGGCGCCAAGTCCATCCACTCTCTCACGCCTGGCTACGTGATGTATAGACAGACGGGCATCCGTTGCATCTGAAGCAGAGCGAGTTACATGCCGGTGTGAGACAGTGATTGGACTTTGCTGCCCACCACCCAGCGCGTAGCAGAGCGTGAGTCGAGCCGCAAGGTCCAATCACTGACTCGGCCCATGGAACTCCTCTGTTGCAGAATGTGGCGCATTCTGGTGTCCGCTCTGCTGGTGACGCTGGCTGCCGGCCAGCTGGAGATTCCCGACAGCTACCTGCCGCCCAAGTGCCCCGAGGGCAAGACCATCACGAGCACCAGCACGCAGGTGCAGGTGACCACCGTGGAGCGCACCGTGGTGTCCACCATCTCGCAGACCCAGCAGGAGCAGACCACCGTCACCAAGGTGGTGCCGAGCACCGTGCGCGTCACCAACACTCAGCGCGTCACCAGTGCCGTCGTCAAGAGTGTCGTGGGCACCCGCCAGATCACCCAGACGGTCACCAGCACCGTCACCGCGCCCGGCAGCACGGTCACCAACACGCAGACCCAGGTGCTCACCACTACCAGCGTGGTCAGCCAGCAGCGGACCAGCACCCGGGTGGAGCAGCGCACCAGCATCGTGTCGCAGCAGGTGCGGAGCACGGCGCGGCTCACCTCGACGGCCACCCGGCGCGTGGACTCGGTGGTGGCCGTCACCAGCACGCAGGTGGTGCCCGGCAGCACGGTGCAGCGCGTCATCACCTCGCAGGTGGAGCAGACGCGCGCGGTGACCTTCCAGCCGCCGCCCCAGTACCGCACCGCCACCAGCATCCTGGTCCGCACCGTCACCAGCACGTCCGTCGCGCCGGCGCAGACCGTCACCCGCACCCAGACCATTACCAGCACCAGCGCGGTGACGCTGACGGCGACCGTCACCAGCACCAGTCAGGTGACGGTGCCGCGGGTGGTCACCGAGACGCGGCAGACGCAGAGCACGCGCCAGGTGGCCACCACGGTGATCAGCTACCGGACCGTCACCAGCACGCAGACGGTGCCCAAGTACGTGACGGAGACGCGCACGGTCATCTCCACGCGTCCGGTGGTGCTCACCCAGACCAGCACGGCCGTGGTCACCGTGCCCGGACGGGACGTGGTGCGCACCATCAGCGTCAAAAACACCAAGACCGTGCCGGTGCCGGGCAAGGACGTGTACGTCACCAAGGCCACCACCATTGTGAAGACCAGCACGTCGGTGGTGGTGTCGACCAGCATCCAGCCGTCCACCGTCTACAAGACCAGCACCGTCACCAAGTCCTGCGAGGGCTACAAATACGACACGCCCGACAACCCGCTGCTCTTCTAGACCACCCGCCGCACCAGTCGCCGCTCCGCCGAGGAACCACACTGCGAGCACAAGGCCGAGCGCCAATAAGTTATGAGTGTGCCGTATGGTTGTAAGCCACGATGAATAAGCGCTTGCTGTGACCCATGATCATCTGTTGAGATATTTTAGCGACGGATTCAGTGCCTGGGAATAAATATATGTAAAAAAGAAATCGAACATATCGAATGTATGACTTAACATGCATCGTAACAGCAATTTATTAGATGCCAACGGTTAGCTCGACAAGCAAAGGTAAGCAGCATCCCTAAACGTTCCTCTTTTGACAGATGTTGGTGCTTGTTGTTGCTTTGATCTCATGCCAGACATAATCAATGTGCTCAATATTGCGTCCCTGTGGCCTGCGGTGCTGACTGACGGCCGCGCTGTCCTGTCGTCCGCAGGATGAGTCGCCTGCTGTTGCTGCTGGGCCTGGTGGCCGCCAGCTGCGCCGCGCCGCAGGAGCTGGCTGACGGCTACCTGCCGCCGGAGTGTCCGGAGCCCAAGGATGCCACCGTCACCAGCACGGTGGTGTCGAGCTCGCAGTATGAGCGGGTCCGCACCAGCATCCAGCAGCAGATCGTCACCGTGACCCGCACGCAGACCAAGGTCGAGCCGCGGCTGACCACGCTGACCACGGCCGTGACGCAGACGGTGCCCGTCACGCAGACCAGCAGCACGGTGGTGACGCAGACGCAGAGCAAGCAGGTGGTGCGCTCGGTGCCGGGCCCGGTGGTCACCCGGCGCGCCACCGTCACCTCCACGCAGCGGGTGGTCAGCACCAACTACGTGACCCGCACCGTGACCAGCACACAGCTGGTGACCAGCACCATCCGGCAGACGGTCACCAGCACCGTCACCGTCCCCGTCACAACCACCGTCACCAACATCGTCTCCCGCAGCAGCGTCATCACCCGACGGCTGCCCGACCAGACCCAGGTCAACACCGTCACCCGCACCCGCACCGTGACCAGCACGAGCACCCTGCCCGCGCAGACCGTCACCAGCACCGTCTCGCAGACGAGCACGCAGACGCGGTCGACGACCGTGCAGCCGCCGCCGCGCACCGTGTCCACCGTCTCCACCCGAGCGCTGGTCACCACCGACCGCGCCACGCAGACGCGCGTGCTCACCAACACGCTGACCTCGACGCAGACGACGACCCGGACGGTGACGCAGACGGTGACGTCCACGTCCGTGGTGCAGCAGGTCAGCACGGCCACCTCGCAGGTGCAGGTGACGGCCACACAGACGACCCAGCGGGTGGTGACGCGCACCGTCACCAACACCGAGTACCGCACCTCGGTGGTGACGAGCACCAGGTCGGCGGCCGGGCGCACGCAGACGTCCACCAACACCCAGGTGGTGACGGTCACGCAGCCGCTGCCGGGCACCACCAAGACAGAGTACAGCACCGCCGTGGTGGACAGGGTGATCCGCACGACCAGCATCCAGGTGCGGCCCGTGGTCACGACGCTGGTCAAGACGGAGACGGTCCAGGCGCCCTGCGGATACAACTACGACGAGCCAGAGAAGAAGTTCGAATACTAGGCGGGCCCGCGCCGGCCCAGTCCGTCTATCATCCGATACCGTTCGGGGAGCAGCTGCCTGCGCCGCCGGACGGTGGCGGCACGCACTCTCCTGCTCTTCACTGAATTCATTTATTGGAGCATAAATTATTGTCATGGGGTCAAAGACGATCAGCAGGCGCATATTCAGCGTGGCGTATGAACGGGCAGCGTGCGAGGTGTGTACTGGACTCGTGGCGACAACTGCAGTGATAATACAACGTACGAACGACCTATTGTTGAGTGTCTCTGACCGGCAGATCTCCGTGTCGGCACAGACACGGAGACTAGCTACCAGCAATCTCATATCAATGCACACACACTTACCACCATGCATGCAGATCGAAGAACATGTAGAATACAATTGTGAGATGTGGAGGTTTCGCAAAACATAACTACATTGTAGATGGTGTTGTCTGGAGCAATCATTCATCAGCACCAGGAACTAGACGGACACAAATATTAGGAGTGTCCATAACTTTCATAGCTGGAGGCTGGCAAAATCGGTCTCTGAAATTGACTCTGGTCCATAGCTATAATTCATTAGCATTTCCCACGGTCTAAAATGATCCCCTGATTGACTAGCAATGCGTGTTTACTCGAGCTAACAGCGAACGTTGAAAGAAGGCAAGTCCCTGCCTGCACGCTGCAGAGCGCACAATGCACGAGTTAATCCGCTGTAAATGGCATCCTAGGCCAGTAACGCACAAACAAGGCGGCGCACCAGACTGCAGGTGCAGACTGTCACCAATATTGCCGAGACTGAATGTCGCACGTGCGCACGAGCAGTAGCACCCCAGCCGAGGGACATGGAGCAGCATTGCCCGCAGGGTGTCTGCCTACAGTTTCACTGTAATCGACCCACTGATTACCAATTTATTACAATTGGAGCAAACTTGACAGATCTTTAATTCGCACGCAGCACGTGAAGTGAGAATGACCCACATGCATTAAGAGTAGTCCGAAGCCCGGCAGAAGGGCCGCCTCGCTACTCTAAAATTACCTCACCTTCTCTACCTTATCCTGCCTAACTAGCCTACAAAAATACCACACATCAATGGGCCCGGGCCCAGCGGTTAGGGAGATACGAGTATAAGACCTCTCAAAAGCGCTATTTCAGCAGATCAACTTGACCACCCTTGACTTTTCACATTGTACGTGACAGAAAGATCACCTAGATGCATCAAGAGTGGTCAACTACAGGGTATAGGATGGAGCTACCCAGCAAAAAGACCATAGGTCAATAGAATAGGCCCAGGCAGCGGTTGCTGAGAGATACCCAAGTCCCTCAAAAGCGTTACAGACCGGGCCGGGTCGGGCCGGGCCGGGCCGGGCCGGGCTGGGCCGGGTCAGACCAGGCCGGTCCGGGCTGGGCCGCTCATACCGAGAATGTTCCAAATTATATTGTAAAGACTCGCTTCGCGTTTCGCGCTCGCTCGTAACAACCCCCACGCCCTTTACAACTGGCACCGAGCGATGTAGAAACCGCCAAATGGGTAAAAACTCCTAGTGATCATTGGCCGGTATACCGGCATGACGAGAAAGGCATCAATTAATGTATGGGGTTTGGAGGCACCCTGACTGCAGAGTGCGGAGGGAGACGGAGCGCGCGCTGACTAGTTAAGTCTGGAACATGTCCAGAGAGACCCGGGCCGAGTCCACGGGCCCCACTGCAGAGTCCCCGGCTCCCTGTGTACTGTGCAGGGACCGCGCCGAGTCCACGGCCCCCACTGCAGGGGCGCCAAGTCCACGGCCCCCACTGCAGGGACCGCGCCGAGCCCCCGGCTCCCCGGACTCGGCACGGAATTCGCGGCCTCCGCGGCACGGTGCCGCTGCTACTATCGGCGCCCTCGGCGACGAGGTCACGGAGACAGCGCGGCGTGTCGGTCGGTACAGCGCGGCGTGTCGGTCGGTACAGCGCATCTCGACGGCCCGCCGAACCACAATGGAGGGGGGAGAGGAGCCCCCTGCCCCCCCCCCTCAGCACCCTGGCAGAGTGCCACGGCAGAGGAGCAGACAGTAGGTACGGCAGGAAACAACGGTCACAATAGCGGCCACATGTTAACATACAATATTACCGCGTTCATGAGCGCTTCATATTTAAGTGGGACCTAATTGTCAAATGTTGGTCGAGGTAGCCGTCCCGTTAGCTGGAGCCGAGACGAACGCTCCCTGTTATTATTGACGTCCTTACTGATATCACAAACGTAGATCTTGAAAGAGCATGCTCAACATCAAACAATAAATGGTTACTTAACCCTCGCCGGCACAGGGGGTGGGGGTTGATGGAACCCTCCCCTAAGGTTTTCGCGAATAACTCACGTAAAAAGCGGCCGATGGAGACGAAACTTCAGTATCCTCGTGTTCATCAATTTTACACCTATCCTGTAACTTTCATGACCCTGGCCCAAATGACCTTTGACCTGTGACCTACTTTTCGAGACCATGTTTGGCTGGAATCGCGATTCGCCGTATGTATGTCGGCTCGCATTAGCCGCGCGGTTGCAGTATTTTCACGGTTTCAAGCATTCAAGCATGTGATATGATGTTGGTCCCATGCATTAGGGTGGGTGTCAAGGTCACCTGAAGGTCAGGTCAGGTCATTGACCTTTGATGACCTCGGCTCATTTTTCGAGTTTCACATGTTTCTAGGCTAGTTTTTGGAGCTGAATTTGAATTAAGCATCCATTTGAACATTTACGAAGTAGTTTTGGTGCCTTCGTAACATGCTACGAAGCTGTCAGAGACCGTTGACACCTACTACGAATACCCGGCAGCTGGTTGATCTGACCTGACCTGACCCGACCTGGCCTAAATGCATGAAAACAACATTTGTGATCAAAAGTAACAAAATATTCGTGATCAGCACGCCGAAAACCCCTCATAGCAGCCTCTTTTTGCAACGTTCCTTTAGAAACCTAGATTTCTTTTTATGACCAACTTCTCGTCATTGTAAATTGGATAGTTTTGACCTTGTTTGACCTCCCTATTGCGTCACAGGACAAATATCGAGGTCACCGATATTGTATCTTGTGTATATTAACCCTCGCCCTGGCACGGCATTTTTCATAACACGGCCTGGCAGGGGGTGTCGATTAGACCCCTCTCGCGATTGGCTCCTATGGCACCTAGAAACACCAAATTTGGTAGGTAGGTGGCCCCCCCTGGGTTTCTCGCCCCTGTGCAAATTTGGTTGCTCTAGGTCAATATTTAGGTTTTTTTGGGGGGGATATGAAATGAATGTAAAAATTTCGCTAAAAACAGGTCAAACATTTTCGGTTATAACTTTTGATCTAATTAAGCTAGAGCAAAAAGAAAGCACTAGTGAACTTAGCACGTCAAGGCGCGTTGAGTGATGTATTTTTTTGCTTGCTTAAGTGTACTTAAAAAGTTAATTAAGCACATCTTAAGAATTTCTTAAGTCTTAAGAATGGTCGGATTGCTTAGTGCTGCATATCATTCGACTCGGCTCTTCAAGGAGAACAGAATGATACCATTTTGAAAGCTGTGTCTTTCTTATGTGACAAATTATTGGCACAAACGTCATTTAACCTCAGTTGACCTAATTTGACCTGACCCATGGATAAGTACACCAAACACAGAAGCATCAAGTGACATAGTGTTAAGTACTAAGATTTCAAAGCACAGAAATGATAAAACGAAGCTGATATCTCCAGTATTTTCCGAGTTGAATATTTTCCCATATGGCTTAACATTACGACGTAATGACCTCTAACTGACCTCAGGTCAGTGACATCGATAAAAACGAGCTATATGTTATACTCGGTGAACTTAGCACATCCTGAAAGTTTGAAGGAAATCAGTTCAAAACTGTGAGTTGGACAGGTGGATAAAGAAAATTGAAATTTGACCGTGACCTTGTACCAGTTTTTCTGACCTGTGGACCTGACCCAAGGTCACCTGGACCTGAAATTGTCTGTCAGGTCATATGTAACAAGGTTGCCGCATAGGCTGTGCCAAATTTGCCAAAAAATGCCGAATTTTTAACGCTATCTACGAAAAACCTTAGGGGGAGGGGGTCGCAATGACCCCCGCCCCCTGCCTGGGCGAGGGTTAAAAAGCTCTTTCGAATACCGTTTGAATTTCTCCGATCCGACTATTGGTTCCGACGACACGACCGGGGGCCTTTGGGTCCCTCCCCCGACAGGACCTACATAGAACCTGCCAGACCTCAACGGGGCTCGGGTAAATGTAGAAGCTTGTCCAGAATTTTGGTCGAAAGCAGCCTTAAAACAAAAGCCCTTTGGGAGGCGTGGATGTCGAGTGTTGATTGGTCTTGAGCCACTACAGCTGTCGTCTGCCAATCGCCAGAGTCGCCGCGGGCTGTTGGACAAGATGTGCAGTCAGGTGCGCTGTGCTGGTGGCGTCCCAGCGTGCTCCGTGCTGCGGAGCTGGCCGTGCCGTCGCTGCGACTAATCCGGCTCGCCGGCATCCCCGGCACCACAGACGCCAAATACGGCCCAGACGATCGCGGCGCATTCCGCACAGAGGCGAGACGATCGCGGCGCATTCCGTACAGAGGCGAGGGCGACCCATCCGGGTCTGCCATGGCCGTGCAATGCCGCACTGCTGCAGAGCATAGAGGTCCTTCGAGAGCGGCCGCACAGACAGTGGGACCGCACTGTGATTAGGATGTACGGCTTTCGCGAGATTAAGCGGTAGGTTTTGCACTTTTACATTTCCGGTTATATCTCAGAAACTAATCGATCTACGATGAAGCCATTTTACACGATCATGGCCGGCTTGTGAACCAACAAGTCGATCTTCAACACTCAAAAGCTTAACGACGACGAAGATATAGCCTGAAGTACACTAAATTTTCTAGGTGCAAAACCTACCGCTAAGACCCGCGAGACCTGTACCTGTACTACGTATCGGTACATCCTAATTGCAAGTACTGTGGGGTCGCACCGGTACTGTAAGGCCGTACCAGTACAGGGGACCGTACCGGTACTGTGAGGGAGGCCGAGCCTTTACTGTGGGGGAGGCCGAACCTTTACTGTGGGGCCGGTACTTCTGACCTTCGCTGAACAGCTCGGTGTGCTGTATACACCCTGGCTGCGAGGAGGGATGGGGAAGAGCCCTCCCTCTCGCCGTTTCGCTCCTATTTGAGCTAGAGCCTCGCGGAAAACCGAGCCTGTAGGCTGTCACGAGACGCATCGACTGGTAGCCAACTGGTTCCAGGTCAATCGGTGACCTCTGAGATCAGGTTAAG